TGAGACAAGATATAAAAAGCTTACCACTTTACATTACTTTCATGAAGTTCTGTAATTTTACATTTAGAAAATATAGAACATAAACATTAAATAATACATACACAGACACGTTTCATCAGCATTTTAAAATAAGATTAAACACATCACATGAATTTTGGAACTTTTAACTAAAACATTTAAATAGGTATGCCTTTTACCTTCTATATGCATAAGAACTTCTGTTACACACATTGTATATAAAGTGCCAAAAACAAAAAGATTCTTCTCATGTCAGCTGAACTTAGACAAACTACCAGTTACTGAAACTAAAGTAGTTTAATTCACAAAAACTGGATGCATGAACTGAACACCACCTCCTCTGCAACATGACATACAATACCTTGAAGCTGTGTAACTTAATATGAAGTACTTAAGGTCAGTATATACATTAATAATCTCTATTTAATAGACTGAACATACACACCACTACTACATTATCACTTGTAAGTACACAAAATTGGCATTACATGTGCTGTTATAACTAGCAAATACAAGGAATCTTAACACAGCAATCTTAATTAACTCCTCCTCCTCAAAAAGTTTAACAGAAGTGTTAAAAAACAAAACCAACTTTCTTAAAAGAATTAAAGTAAATATGCAAAATTTACATGTGCAGCTCCCTAAAAATAATTTAAAATATAAACAACAGTACAATTCAAACTTTGAACTTCAAAATGGTGCAAAAATTACAAAAGAAAAAAAGCAAGTGTAGGCACACATTCCTGCAGGCCCATTTTTTTTCAATGCCTCCAGCCTTTTGATCATTCTGGTTTCTGGTTTATTAGCAAGGGTCAAGGGATCCACTTTTGAGCTTGATAAGGCAGGATTACATTTACTGATTGTAAGGTGGTGATGAAGATAATAGCTGGCTGAGGAACTTCTAAAGCAGTGGTGGCTTGGAATTCTCCACATTCACAAAGTTTCTGGTTTTGCAAGAGGAAAGATACAAACAGGTTGGTGAACCTGTAACATACTACACTTGCATTCAGAAGGCATCAGGTTTGAATTATGACCAGACTATCAGCTACTTTCACTTAGGCATTCCCCAGATTTTCAGGCAAATGCCACAAACTGCCTCCGTCCAAAATCATTATCTCCTCAGCATTCATGGCCATTTCTCCAGCTCATATAAGCTGATAAAGTGTTTCACCTGCAGTAGTCTAAATCATTCTTAGAAGTAATTATGCTTTCTACAAGGTCAAATAATGGACTGCCATTGAAATAGAAATGGATCTTAGGTTATAGCACTTAAATCAGATCCCAAGTAACAGTTTAATGCCTAATATTCATGAATGATTGATTCATAGTTCATTTAATGACACTTTTCTCACTACATGGGTTACAGTGTCGTAACATTCAGCATGGCTCACTGCACTAATCATCACTTTCTGCAACTTCCACATTACACAATGCTGGTCTCGTTCAAATGTGGGATGGATGACTTGCCCGATTCTGCTCAGTGCGCAGATCAAAGACGACAAAGTCTGGACTATGTAGGGTCTATATACATGCTTATCAGCCAATTTTGGTCACTTACCACATCGTACAAATTTATATGGGTCACTTATTACATTAATGATGCAGATAGAAAGTATCTGAAATTTACCTTTATTTCATACTGACACAAGTTTCTTTATAGCCAGTCTCAAAACAAAGACATGGCACAAGAGAACCTGCTAGTACATCCATACATGAGAAGCTATGGTTAATTTCAGACACTTTAAAAACTGGTTAGTTCAATTAACTTTTGCCTCTCACGTTGTTCACTTTGGTGCGAAGACATTTAATGTGTAAGCTGCAGAGGTTATACAGTGCCAAATGAGAGGGAAAGATCACTACCAATTCATTGGAAAGGATTCAGGAGGAGGCTGTCACAGACTATTTCAAATATATATGCATATGAACTGAGGAGGGAAAACCACAAAGACCTTCTGCCAGAATAGGTGGTAACCAAACCATGATTCAAAAAAGGATACCTCCACAATACCAGCCCTATCACTACTACAACATGCTTGGTCCATCCCATTTCTGTTTCCCATTATCAGAGGATGGAATTCTGATGTTACAATATATTTCAACAAATATGGAGTTCTTACCAAAAACATCTAAAATACTGTGTATACAGGGTTTTCAGCTAAGGCCCACCTTCATTCAAATAACACAAAGAGCAAGATTATTACGTACACAGCACCCTAATACCACAAACATCAAATTAAAATGAACACAATTTCAGGTTCTCACAGCAGCAAGTATGAAGATGACTGTCTTCTGGCACATTATCCTGTGCAGTCTCATAAAAACTGACTGACCTGATGGAGGCTGTAAGCATCCCTGAAATGTCAGTCAATGTCAGTAAGAGTCTATGGCACAACATCCCAGAAGTCATCTTCAGCTTAAAAACCAACATATGTTAAAGACTGCAGTGTTTGCCACTGGATACAACAAGTAAGTCTCATCCACCTCTCATTCTCACAACCTATGTCCCTAAGATCCATTTTAATCCTGAGATACCAAAGCTCACCTGAATATTTTAAAATACAGTTCCTACTGAAAAGAAACATAACACTTCTCCATCACAAACATACATACTAGTTGATACATTTTACGGAAATAATTGCTATATAATCTGAAAATCATGCCAAACACCCCAACATTCTTTGCAGGAAAAATTAGTTTATTGTTACAGCAAGTAGACCAATAGCTTTGATTGGGATATAAATGGTCTATGTTATTCTTCAATCCCCTTCCCAGTCTTCCAAGTAGTTATTTCCCAAAAACAATTTCCACCATAAATATTCTGTATATTTTCATTCTTTGTTTCTGCATCCTAGACTATTTCCTGCCAAGCCCATTATAAATACTCACTACTATAGCAATATATTAACAGATATACATGCACTACTCAAATTATACTGAAACTCTGCCATGTAAAAACATAAATCTCAAAAATTTTTAATTTGAAGCCAGTAACCCAAGTTTTCTCATAAAAGGAAAGATTTATTGACTTTTTCTTTACAAATATTTCCTGTTGCACGCCATGAAGGCATTTGGTAGGACAGGCGGTATAGCTCCTACCCATTCTTAACCTTGGCATTAGATAGGGGTAAGTGGTCAGCATCATGCAGCGGCTGCACTTTACTCCTAGAAAAAACCGTTACCCACTGGACACAGAGGAAAAATCCTCTGCCCCATCAGGGATCGAACCCTGGCCGTCCAGTCACCCTGTACTGCACCTATCAAAACCATCCTATCCATAACTACACATTAAACAACTCAAGAACAGCTAAACCAATTCTGATTAAATCTGATACTGGAGAATTTTTAGAAAATTTGTTGGTAAATTTCAATTTTCATTTACATTAGACAATTGAAGCCTAGTGTGTTAAGGGCAAAACAAGATTATATACATACAAATCAGGTGTTTTACCATGCAAACATAACTTATAAATGATGGGACATTCACTGAACAAATAAATAGGAACCGAGTCTGAAAGAAATGACATTTTATGCTTACACATGCAGACACTAGGTACTAATTATTAAACCTTGTAAAAGAGCACAATTCTTTAATTTTTAAAATTACACCTAATTTCACCAACTGAACATACTAAACATATGGCAAAATTCACAAAATGCATATACAATCCTACAATAATAGCATGCTTAAACAAAATACCATACACATACAAACACAACATACAATGTACCTTTCACAGAACAATGACAGTACGAAACTTGTTACTAATCATAAACCTACCACTGAAGAGACTCAATGGAGGTTATACATGAATCTGCAGTGGAATACATAAGTTTAAGCAACAGGCCAAACTTATGTAACTGCTGGCAAATGACAAGACTTTTTTCTATGCCAAAATCACACTGAAATTGCTATGAAAGTGTAATAAAACTAATCAGTATTTCACATTAACTGCCACAATTTCTTAAATACTCAACACAAATTACAGAAAAAAACTTTTTCTGCATTTAGACTGAGAAAGCTCAATTAATTCAATGTCAGATACAGCTTAGCTAGAAAAGGTAACCTGACAAACACTTAATGGCTTAAACAGACTTCTTTTAATATGGCTTATGGACTGACATAACCTAATTTTAATTTTAGTTCTTCTAAAAAGCTTAGCATTGATTGTTCTTGATCTCCATATGTATGTAAGCATTGTAGCACAAAAAGGACCAATGCAGATCAGAGAAAATAAGAAATTGTTGCAGAACACTATGTCAATGTACCACCAGAAATTTTAAATAAAGAACCCAGTGCTAGTTTTGTTTACTGACCCTGTGTATATGTTTGTTGTGGGAGCTAACACTCTCAGAAACATTACCATGCAATCTTCCAGTAACCCACAGCAAAACTGAAGCTGTCATACACAAGTAGGAAAAAATTAAAGCATGTTCTTGTTTATTAAGCAGGGATAAATGTCAAAGAAGAACATTCAGAAATTTTTTAATATGGTACTAGTGAATCTTACAAGTTATTGCCATGCTGAAAGTAGAAAAATTAACGTCCCTTGCCAGATTAACATATTAATACTGTAGGATAAAATACACACAATGCATAATGTAAATTTAAATTAAGTAGTCCGGCAGCATCAAAATTTAAATGAAGTGGCAAAGGGTTAATTACTCCAACAACTAAGCATATGCAAATGAACTGTATAAAACACT